CTGACACATTTTTACAGATTGGCGGGCGAGATTATTTAATACATAGTTATATAGCATATTTACCTTCTGACGTTGTCCTAGAGGAGCCTGGGTACAGCCCCCAAAGCACTTGCCATTGTCACAGCCCGCTAGTAGTTAATAGTAGGTGAATAGGATCTCAACTGCGGAGGCTAAGGAACTCGATAAAGGACTCTGTACGGCGCTCAGTCACGAACCCCAGGCGTCGCTCTCAATCATAGGCGGAGAGTTTGGGGTTCTTGCATCATGAGCCGTAACAGGAGGGGAATGAGAATTCGTATGCAGACGGAGTAATCAGGACCCAACCCTGGATGGAAATCACCAAGGGTCTTCAGGTGAGGTTGCTTGCACCCTGCTGTACAGAGGTGGAGATTGGCCAACAGTTATAAGTGGAACGTTTCCCGGTACTTATAGGTATAGGTTGTCCCGAGGTACAGATGTGCACATATACTTATATGAGATAGTTGGTAGGCAGTCCAGTGCTATACACATACACTTGTTACTGATGGAAACCCCTAGGCAGTTCATACAAGTGATAATCCATACAAGTGAAAACCCCTATAGGCTTAAGGTACTTGCGCTTAGGTGCAGAGCAGTAGTGACAGGGGTCACTTCTTCCAGCAGTAGGGTAGTCCTCCTTTAGATCCTGGCGAGATAGTCTCCTTACAGAACGAGGTTCCAGGGTGTTTGGGCATGAGAAACCCAATAGTGAACACCCTGCATCGTTCGGTTTGGGTTTAAATAAGCCGCGGCCGTGACATCACGTGGCCGCGGCGCACTTCCGCGTTCCAGCGTGGAGCGCACCCTACGATCCCGGAAGTAGGAGGGAGCGCTCTGCGGCTTCTCCCGCGGCTGCGTTCCACGCTGGCACGCACACGTGACGTGGGCCGGCCAGGAGGAACGTCACAGCCATAGGACTCCGATCCTGATAACTGCATCTTCACTGGAGAGGCTGCGTTCAGGCAGAAGAAAATTTAATAGAAGATACAGTAAGGTAAAACTACACATACTCTCCAGAGAGAGAGAGAAAAAGTCTATCACCTAAGGATAGTTTGTCCTTAGTTTGGCCTTATGGTAACCTAAGCTAGGCACATTAGAGGGTGTAGTCTTGTCCCTTGTAATTGCTTTTGAACAACCCAACTGTAATGATTATCTGTGTCCTGTACTGTCTGAACAACAACATTTTTGACTTAACTATAAAATCCTTTTCTTGGAGTACAGTACAGGATACAAGACCATACCCTTTATGTCCACGGTTTGCACTATTGCTTGCAAATACCTGAGGCTCAATTTTAGGGGGAAGAGTTATATGGGCTTCAACTGTTCTGAACAGTATCCATTCACCTGAAAATACAGCTATATAACCCATCCGTCATAATTATCCGTGTCCTGTACTGTACGAAAAAGAAATGTTTAATTTATCATTTATTTCAATGTGGTTATAAAGTAGCAGATATTCTCTAAATTTTGTCTTATAATAACATACACCTATGTTTGTAAAAATGTATAGTTTACTTTTAATCTACTGGTCTGACTCTTTAATTACAGTGCAACAATTTGACCAAACGTGATTTCAGCCAAAACTCTCTGTGATATACAGAATATAATATACCCAGATTGCTCTAATCTGTACGCTGTGATGTATCTTATCTACCCTGGGCTGCCAAGCTGTATATGCTGTGCTGTATGTTATATACACTAAAGGGAATCAGAGCACTTTTACCAGTCATGGTTTATAGTATAGATCCCCAGTCACTGTGGCTAGGTAAATTTAAATAATCCATATATCCATTAGTCTCACCACTGCAGCCCTGGAGCAAAATAAAAATACATCTTAGTATTAGGTTTACAAGCACAATATATTCAGCAGGAAGGCACTCAGCACAGTAGTTAGGTGTTAGAAGTAGTATGAAAAACATGCAGTAGTCAACACCACATGTTTTAATGGAAACACACAGTATGACATAGAAATTCTTAACTGTAAGAAGAGTCTGGTACACTCACCGCCATGGCCAGAAAGAAAAGAACAGATTTTAAAATATGGTAGCCCTCACAGAGGCAAGGTGTTAGGGAACCAAAAAACCAGACAGAAACTTAAAGTGCAGGTTAAAAACAAAAGGAGTTTACTGAAAAAATAGCAATAAACAAAAATGGCAAAAAACAATCGAGAGAGTCCAGGATGTCGTCAGTGCCAAACCAGAGGTCAGATGCCAAAGTGGGTAGTCAGCCAAACCAGGTCAGGGAACTTGAGAGTACGATCAATCAGCCATAGCAAGGGTCATAAACGGAGAACAGGAACAACAGCAGAGCACTTGGTAGATCTAAACACACGCAAGGGCGGAGACTAAATGGACAAGCTGATGGTTAAATAGTGAACAGGTGAGACAGGAAGTTGCCAGGAGTTTGTCAATGGTTGCAGAATGATGATGTTACAGGTTTGGTCATAAGAGGGCACCAAAGAGGAACAAACAGTGTCAGACTCAGTGCAACAGAAGAGAGGCTGCAGCTCAAGTGGACAAGGAAGGGTAAAAAACCCTGACACAAGAATTATTTAGTTCCTGGTTAGAGCATTTAGAGATTCCACTTAATGATTTTTAAACATCGTTTTAATGAATGGAAAGATAAAACAGTGCAAGAAAATATTTACAAATAAAGAGTATTACAATACAGACAACAGTAGAATAAGCGGGATTAAAGATGAAAGGCACTTAGCAAGGTTTGCCTGGTATTTGGTTTCTGTGCAGAGTGTAATTCACTTCTGATCTGTCACGTATCCTCAAAAATGACTTAGCATTCTGGCATGGTTTCACTGGAAAGCCAAACCCCCCCAGCTTCCAATTGCAGCTGGTTTTCTGGCCCCTAACGTTGCTTACCGAAATTACATAACTAATCACAAGGTTTAAGGAATGTGCTGAGTGTCCTGCCCTCTGCACCTCATAATAATGTGTTTGATGTCTAACTGATGGTAATATTCTCCTACATCCATGTAATCACTTTTTATGAATGTGATTTTATCATAGCAGAATTTATGGACATTGTATAAAACTTAGCACTTTGTGGCTCAAAAAGTATTGTGGCATCACATTCCAGACACGTGTATTGTGGAGTCACTTGCCAGACAGGGCATTTAAAGAACTGATTCTGATAGAGGAATTTTCCTAATGGAGGTTTACGACCACTATTAGCAGGCTGTGGATTAAGAGACAGCCTAGTAATGCAGTTAATGGAATTCATAAAGGCCTGCTATGTGTTGTTTCAATCTGGTCTTAAACTAAGCTGTTTTCTGGTGGGGTTTATATGAGATGTGTCCCCACACACAAAATCTAAATCTGATCATTTTGTCATTGACTTGTGAATTTTGGAGAAATGAGGATGGCATTGTGCTCTGTAAAAATCCCCATCTCCTCTAATCTAATCCCCACTCATTTTGGGGTTTGTCAGACCTCATTATTGTCACTGTTAGGGGTTAGAAGTAGGGTGAAAAGTGCTGCCTTGTATAGCATGAATTGGGGGATATGCCATATATTTACTCTGTTTCACATATAGTTCTTCTAGTTAAAACAGTCATGCAAAGGACGTTAGGAAATACAAATAACTTAAACATAGGGTATGTAGTCTTTCTGGATTATTCTGGAACTAACACAAATCTCATATTGCTTCTAAATTATTTATGCTGTATCACCTGATTCATAACTATTCATATGTTAAAAATCAAAATGTGTTAGTTTTATCCATCCAACCATATAAATGGCATTTAACCATCTCTGAAGGAATGCTGCTTGGAGTTAGGACTGTACTGGACAAAAGCATGTTAAGACTTACTCTCAAATCCCCACAATATTATAACTGTGTGGTTGGTAGCTTAGTGTTTTTATACTGGCCTCAGCTTATGAAGAACTGGTAGAATAAATGTGGACAAAGCAAAGCATTCAGCTATGCCTTTGTTTTATTTCAAATGCCTTGGGGATGAAAGCATTTCAAATGTATTATAAATGTGGTATTTTCATTTCTTTTGAGGTAGCAAAGAAAACATTAATTTTTCACATTGGCAGAAGCTATTATTTGCTAGATCCAACTTGTGGCTTAACGTTAAAATGCTGACTTGAAAATTTGCAAGAGCATCTTGGAACTGATGCAAAACTGTAATGTCCTGAAGTCTGAAGTTAAGATGGTGTACTTTACTAACTAGACCCGAAAACATTGAAAGAATCTTGATTATTAAATAACATTTCAAATGCTCTTTGCTCTCAATGTCCTATTATGTGTTTTTAAGTAAAAACAATTACTCCTTTATGATTACAGTCTAGTCATATGGTATTTAAAGCGAAATACAACCTCCTATCTCTTACAGCCAAGAAAGGTGCCATGTTAGCCTCTGTTTGAATTGCAGTTGCCATATTGCTGCACATGTGATCAGCCATAACACCAATCATTTTAGAGCTCGATGATCTATCAGAAAAAGAAAGGCAGTGTGTATGTGTAGTTACCAATGGAAACCTGTTCAGAGGCAGCACACATTGGCAGTAGCCGCAGCAGGCATATCAATGCATATGGACTGTAGTATACCCCCAGCACAGCAGTAGTATGGCTTTTTTATATATACTGGGGGGACTTTATTAAAGCAATTGTGACAGTTTTAGCCTCTAAGATAATTTTTTTTTTAATGTGCAAATCTGTCTTTCAACATGTGCCCCTGTTTTCATCTGAGCTTGCACTACTTTTCCAACTGCCCTGAGTCTACTAAACCTCATTTATCAACAACATTACACTAGCATCATAAATCTGGTACAAATATATTCCGTGCAAGTTCAAACACTCGCAATTGCTTTGATAAATTCCCCCCGCTGTGTTTTCAAAAGTCCCATTTAACAATAACTATAACATTATTTGTAGTGCATATATTTTTTTCAAAGCTATGTATCTTACACGCTGACTGTATGATTAAAAACTAACAATTTAATTTTCCCTTGTGTTTCTTTAAGAAAAGAAGCTTCCATCAAGACCGTACAGACTACAACCCAGACACCCAAATGGTAGGTCTCCACTTCCCCAGTTTGCTGGAATGAGAACTGTTCGCAGATTTCGAGGCCAAGCTTCTAATCCTGGAGAAAGTGCAAGAAGAGTTAACTATGCTGCACTCAAACCCACTGTTAGAAGTGAAGAAAATAAACAAAGAGGTAAGGAAGAGCGTGTTCACATTTGTTAAATAGTGTGAGACAAATGTATAAAGTATATAAAATATTCTTACTAAAAATGTAAACATTTTATTTAATCCGTAGGGGATCAAGTTCATATAGCACTTTGTCCTGTTCAAATCTGTCCTGTCGTTGCCAAGCTGCATATAGATCAGTGAACTTTTATGAATAAATGCTCCACGCTGTTGTGGCTGTTTCATACACTGTACTGGCCTTGACAGCACTGATCATTCAATCGTAAAAGCTGTGATCTATCCGTGGGGCTGTGGACTTTTAAGCAGCCCCAGCAGATAGACCACATAGCCCTGCAGCGCTAAGTGAACTTTTATGAATGCATGATCAGCACTGTCAAGGCCAGTATAGTGTATGAATGCCCTGACAACGTGGAGCATTTTTGTTTACTAGCAGCCAGCACACAGTCCTGTAACACTGATTGCTTATACATGATAGTAAATGCTCATACATAATAGTAAATGAGCAGTCAGCTAAGAGAGGGTGATGGGGCTTAGTGCTGGCTGTACCTCTCCCCACTGTAGCACCCATATTTTAGGCTTAAGACTGGGGTAGAGCTACAGCCAGCATTAACATAAATGACGCTTAAAGTAGAATTAAATACTCTTTTTTTTTTTTTTGCATATACCAACTGCTAGCAAGTGTGAAGATTGTGTGTAACGTGCAGACTGTGTGTGTTTGTGTGTAATGTGGATATTGTGTGTAATCTGCAGACTGTTTGTGTGTAAGGTGGATATTGTGTGTAATGTGCAGACTGTGTGTATGTTTGTGTGTAATGTGAAGATTGTGTGTAATGTGGATATTTTCTGTAATATGCACAATATTTATATGTTTGTGTGTCATGTGAAGATTGTCTGTAATGTGGATATTGTGTGTAATGTGCAGAGTGTGTGAATGTTTGTGTGTAATGTGCAGACTGTGTGTATGTTTGTGTGTAATGGAAAGATTGTGTGTAATGGATACAAATGTAATGTGCACAATATGTGTATGTTTGTGTGTAATGTGAATATTGCCTGTAATGTGTATGTTTGTGTGTAATGTGAAGATTGTCTTTATTGTGGATATTGTTTGTAATGTGCACACTGTGAGGGGAGTTTATCAAAACTGGAGCAGACAAAATCTGGAGCAGCTGTGCATGGCAACCAATCAGCATCCACCTTTCATTTTCAAATATTAACTGAACAAATAAAGAGAGTTGGTGATTGGCTGCCATGCACAATTGTTCTAGATTTTGTCTGCTTCAGTCTTGATAAATTCCCCTCTATGTATATGTTTGTGTGTCATGTGAAGATTGTGGATATTTTGTGTAATGTGCAGACTGTGTGTATGTTTGTGTATAATGTGCATTACCAATAGACAGCTTCAAATCTCTTATCGAAGACAGATATTGTTGCTGTTTTTCATCTGGTAGCAGCTAAATGATGCTGAACCTATAAGGAAATCTATAATAAGATAGCTGAGATTGGCAGTCAGTTAAAAATAATTAAAAGCAGCCTCCATTGCTTTGATTACAGCTTTTCATTCTGAAATATTATATTTTAATGGACACAATTGATTCATGGTTTCAGTGCCAAGTGTAGAGATATTGTCTTAGCTGTGAACTATAATTACACAATGAAAAGTTCCTTTATTCTTCTCTTGCAGCATCTGAATCTGTACACATGGTCTCCCTGCCTTCAATGAATCTTGAAAGAAAAAGTCAGCCAGTGTATCGGGCAGCTGTTACAAAGCTCAAAATTCCAGGTATTAGACAAGCTTACTTTGATAATAAGCCAAACAGTAGCACTAAAGCTATAGAAGTGAACACAGAACACTCTAAAATACCCATGTGCTGGGGTTTACAGAAAATAAAGATCTCAAGGACATATGTTGAAAAGATGTTAACCTTTACAGAATTTGTGAACAATCTATGGAGGGATTTTATCAAAATTGTAGCAGAAAGAATTTGGAGCAGTTGCCCATGGCAATCAATCAGATTCTCTTTTCAGTTTGTGCAGTTAAGCTTTGAAAACAAAAGATAGAAGCTAATTGGTTGCCGTGGGCAACTGCTCCAAATTCTGTCTGTTCCCTAACCTCAAGGAGCTTACAATCTAAGGTTCAGACCTCACATGCATACATACATACGCAAGGGCCAATTTCCCTGCCAGTATGTATTTGAAGTGTGGAAGGAAATCATGTCGTTGTGTGCCAGGAGTTGGTCTACTGACTTGGAAGGGAACGCTTCGTGAGCTGCTGGCAGGGAAGCCACGGGATTTGCTGAGGAGCTGCTGATGTGACCTGCAGGGACCAGGTTTGGTGCCATTGGAGGGTAACCTTGGGAATTGTTGAGGAGCTAGGCATGTAAGCTACAGGGGCCAGGGGGTTGTAAATTGAATTGCTGGGACTGTTAAGGAACCAGCATGGAAGTATGAGTGTACCTGAGACAGAATCCCCCACTGGCCAAACGGAAATGGGACAGGTGAAGCCAGGGATGTGTGCGCAGTGAAGGGGTGAGTAATTTGGCAGTGAAAGAGGAGGGGAGTGTGAGTGAACCTGAGGTAGCATCCCCCACTAAGAATAAAGTGCAACATTTGTCCAGATTATAACTTTAATGTTATAGACTATTTATATATAATTAAGCTTTCTTTACCTGATAATAAATCACTGGTATTCAGTAACATTTTTTAATCATGTAATCATGGGGACCAACTTGATGTCATGGTTTGTAAAAATGCTGTTTTATTTTTGCTTCATATAAAGATGAAGCTGAGAATAAAAGAAAGCAGTACTTTGTAGATATTGATGGATATTACTGGGGAGGAGAGGGAGGAGTGTGAGTGAACATGAGGTAGTGTCCCCCACTAGCAATAAAGTGGAACATTTGTCCCAGTATAACTTTAATGTTATAGACCATTTATGTATAATTACACTTTCTTTACCTGATAATAGGTCACTGGTATTCAGTCACATGTTTTAATCATGTAACCATGGGGACCAACTTGTCATGGTTTGTAAAAATGCTGTTTTATTTTTTCTTCATATAAAGATAAAGCTGGGAATGAAAAAAGCAGTACTTTGTAGATATTGCTGGATATTACTGGCAGGGCTGTTTGGTGATTCATGGCCTTGCAATGTGGTGCTGTTGAAGATCTCCAGTTCTATTGGTTTCAGATTTACTGTTTTAGGGTTTCAGTGTGTTCTAAATCAAATGCATTAGCAAATATGAAACAATACTCTTCCTCTTCTTCCTTTATTGATAGAAAAAAATAGAAAAAAAACATATTAGAGGCCCTTAATTGAAGTCTGAATCCTAGAAATCTAACTGGTTGCCAACTACTGATCACTATTATACTAGATCATTATTACAGAGGGTTACGACTTTCACATTATTCTAAGATATTTGTGGTGACAGGTAATCAGTTATGATTTCTGTCATATTCATCATTGTACAGCCGCACTAAAAAAAAAAAAAATCTACAGTACATTACATTTCAATAGAATACAAGTATTTATGCAACACAGTTTAAAAAAAATTACTATAAAGAGCAAAAACAAATTGAGACTACAGGCTAGTAATGTTTGCCAAAAAGGTGTAACATATAAAAAGAGCCATGATCACATGTAAATTCCTGTTGTTTGAAGTTTTATATTAATTACAAAATCTGTGCTGTCTTAGGATACATTTTAATACATTTCACTTTTGCACATTCCATGCCTAACATTGCAATCTGTACAGCGTAAGCTGTCATAATTATATACTGGAAAATAAATCAATAACATTTTATTTTATGATGTTACATACAAGACACAAAATTAGTGCATATTACATGTTGGCACTGGATAACAGATCTCACTCTTCTCCATCAATGTACTGTAAAAGAGTTTGAACATCCCACTACTTTACAGACAGAGATCTGTATTTGCTTTTTCATTTTGTATCTTTTTAGGCTGATAGTATGTAGGTGTCATGGTATATAAAGGGGCAAAACATTTGTAACAGTTGACTTTTTTGTTACCTGTGGGTGGGTATCTTCCATGGAGACTGAGTAACCTTTCTTTTGGGAGTTGCTGTAGAAAGGCAGAAGGGTTGTTTTTGGGCATCAATTGCTTTCTCAGCCATTGACAATGCAATGCCGATGTACGGCTGAAATCAGCCGTACCAGCCTGAAGTGAATAGCCGAACAGTGTTCGGCTCACTTCACTTCTGATCGGTCATTCACTCGGCTGCCCTCGGCAGCTTTGTGAATAGACCCCAAAGATTCATTTTGTGTTATTGTTATTGTTGCCAATATTAAAAAATTTATTTCATTTCAGAAAATGATTCTCTGATGAAACCCAAGGAGGTTAGTGCCAGAGTCCTTTCTTCTCAGTCTGTGCTTGTCACATGGGTAGATCCAGTATATGAAAAGTCTACAAAGGTTGACGCAAACAGGTAAGCTGCTGTGCCACTGCTGGCACTTATGTTTTTAACAGACAGATGTTTTATAGATGTTATTTCAAATATAGAGGTATAATAATTGTGTCTTTATAAGCAAACCTATTAACTTGACTGTTTCCCAACATGAGGAAATACTCATCCTGTCTAATTTACTATCTCCTAGGTTTGATTATTTAACTGGAACCATATTTGATTTGTTGATCCACTGGCAGCCTTTATAATATTAGTAAATTTTGTTTTTGTCCACTGAACATTAATAATTACTAATAGCTGGTGAGATAGATGTCTTCCCAATTTGAACCCATGCATGAAAAATGTTTCAGCCACTGCATGAATACAGCTTTCTTTTGGTGGTATTTAATCACCACTGAGGTTTTTATTTTTTACTATATAATGAAGGAAGTTCAGAAAATGTTGAATTTTTTGTTTTGTTTTACCTACGCTATGTTAGAAAACAATTATTATTACACCATTTTTTGATAAAATATAAAAGCCGGGGTCACGCAGGGTAAATAGACACTAAACCTGTCAAGCTTTAAAATTGCGTGCACCCACAAAATCGCAAAAAACTACCATACCTGACATGGGCCATAGGTGATACTTTAAAAGCTGTTACTGCTCATCAGTTTCGTGTAAACAGTGATTGATGGCCCTATAATTATTGCTCTCACTCCGACGTTCGCGGTGATATGTAACGTGTGCCGTAATCATTGGTTTCACATGTAGGCACACCCCACGTGTATTTTGTTTATATGTGTTTGCCCGCAGGGGACTTACATTTTTGGGGATGTCAGTGACTTTCACTTTTTTCTCAAAATGTTTTGTTTTTTTACACTTAACTTTATAGCTATCACATCTGGGGCTACCAAGCCCCCTATGTGATAACAAATATACAATGACAAGTCCTCTTTATGGAGACATCAGGGGTCTCTTAGACCCATAATGTCACCTTGGGGCCCCCAAAGAAGCTGATGAAGCAGATATTTGCTTCTCCAGCTTCTTTTCTGGCTATAGCAGCCAGTGAAATGACATCTAAAAGTGGAAGTGATGTAATACACATCACTTCCGCCTTTAGAGAGCGGAGGAAGGATAAGCAAATAGGAGAATGCTGATCTCTCCTCCGTGCACAGTTGAGCAGCCGCTGTGCCAGTCCCGGGCCCGCAGGGGGGACAGAGGAGCCCGGGATAACTGGCAGTGGCAGCAGAGGG